TTCGGCAATCTTCAACTTTAGTATCTTTCTAAGGTATCATACATTATATTCCATTTCATGAATTTATATCGGCAACAACAATCTGGCATTCAGACAGATGTAAGCTCCTTCGCCAATTCCCGTTTTATAGACTTTCCAGGAGCCCCGGAGTTCTACTTGCCAACAGAAACACGCCTGTCTTTCCATCGCGTTCGCCTAACTTTCCGACTGATTTGATTTATCTCGACAACAATTGAAAAGACAATCTGCTTCTCTCCATTCGTAAGGGATCCAATAATGTATACGGTCTACAGAATATTTCCTACATTCCAGATAATAGTCTAGTTGACAATTTCCGTTTTACAACTTGTGGGATTTTCTTCTCTGAAACGTATTATTCAATTCGTGATTTCATCCAGAGTGATTCACGATTGGAGTTGGATTCTGCGAAAAAATAGTTTTGATATTCCGAATGATATGTTTGAACAACAAATTAGTTGTTGTTTTGTGAATATTTGAAAAATGATTGGAGATATTCTAAATTTGGACTCAATATTCTCAAAAAACAAAGAATTCACTGTAGAGAGTTTCACTTCCTGGAATGTCAGCTCCAATATTTATAATTCCAATCGCGCTGTCAAAATATGTGTACGATTTGGGAGTTTCAATAAAAATATGAATATTGAAGGATAGAAAATTATAAAAAGAAAGGTTTTGCTTTGTATTTACTTTGTATTTATTATGGAAATAATAACAAAAACTCAAAGCTAAGCTCCTATGAAAAATGATACTGGTTTGCTTATAGACTGATCGAGTNAGAGAGAGAGAGAGAGAGAACATTGGCAGATCAAGATTTTCAGATGATGTGGTTCTGCAGGTTTTTCCGGGTTTTCCTGCTGCTGAAAAGGCAAATGCGCCACTGGAATCATTGAGCGCCCCTTAATTTTTGTTTTTGTTTTATAATTTCATGATTTCTATTTTGAAAGTGTTAGTACACTACTTATTGTTGAATGAAAACTCATTATATACTATTGAATTTCCACACATCATTTTTTCCAATCTTAAACCAATGATATAGACCATAAAATTTTATTTTCTGAAAAACTGTTTTTCTTATTCTTGTTTAATTTTTTCTCTGTCTTCATTATTAACAAATCGTTTATTGAATAAACGAGTAGGGAATAAAATAATCAGAATTCGAAATGGCAGTTGAAATTATAATAAAACATTCGGTTTCCGGTGTTATTATTCACTGGCAGAAATAATTGATTTTGAGAAACGATTTTTTTGTTCGAAAGTTATCATTCGTTTTCACGATTATGATGAAAAAAAAAACATTTATTTCATAAACAATGCAGTATATCATATATCCATCAGTCTTTCAACAAAAAGAACAAGAAAAATATCAATTCAAAAACAAAATAAAGGAGCTTTTTGGAAAATATTATTTATTGCTCTGTTAATGTTTCTCATACTCCAACATCATTTTAAGTTTTCAACTTCTCCAAGGAAAATATTTTTTAAAATCAACAAGGCATCAACTAAAACGAAACTGAGATGAAACAACGAAAGAATAATTTACATGGAAATTGCAATTGGTACATTCCTTCAAATTCATATTTGAAAGGTTGAAAAATGTCTGTTGCTGAAGCGCCCGAATAAGGCAATGAGTCGAACAATCCGTTGTTACCCTCATTTTCACCCCTCCGTTATTACATTTCCGGGGGTGAGACTTTTCCTCAAAAGTTTTTCGTTCTTTGAGGACCTTTTTTCTTCTTCGCAGTAGTTATAGAGATAGTAGCACAAAACTGACCCCTGTTTGTTATTCAATAAAGTTGTGTTCATCTTCGAATTACGGTTTTCCACGGCTTGTACAGTTTGGCTCGAACGGTTAATTATTCTGAGTAAAATTACAAATCAAAAGCATCTCAATCATAATTTTCTCTGAAAGCAAATCGAAGTGATGCGAAATACCATTCGCGAACTGGACTATAAGAAATGTTTTCCACATCCAGTTAATAATAAATCGAACAAAGGAATAGTTCGCCGTATTCGGAGGGTAAATCTAATTAAATTCACCCTGAATTTCGAGTCTATTAACGCACTATCGGCGGAGCAAAGTTAAATGGAAATTCAATGAGAAATACGAACGTTTTTCCAAGTATTGAAGTGAAGGAATCTGAATTGCAAAGTGAGCATTGTATCCAGCTGGAGCTAATATCTCGTTTTTCCGCCATGAATAGAAATTGGGATCTTTACTTACAGATTTACGTCAGTGAATTGCGTGATGCATATACGAAATTTTAACAAGTGAACGTAGATTCTAACCTCAATTTCAGTTTCCTCATTGACATACCAATGAGAGTTACCGGGATAGTTGATATATCCCGTCAATCTCAGTTCAAAATCGAAGTACAAATAGAAAGTTTTTACTTGGGATAATTGGGAAAAATTGAAAATGAAAGTTGAAACCCAAATTAATGTATTGAAAAACTGGTTTTATCATAAGTCACTCACAATCAATTTTGAATGAACAAAATTTCTACCCATTGCAAGCTACGAAACTATAACTATAATGAATTGATAATAAATAACCACGGAAAAAAATAAAAGTCCTAAGAACAGACCATATTAAATACCTGGGAGTCATAATTCATTCACATCTCAGATGGAATGAACATATTAAAGAAATAAGTAAATCATTGTATAAATTCAAGTACTTGAGATCTGTTCTCGATATCAATCACCTCAAAATAATATACTACGCATTGGTGCAATCTAGGCTCCAATAAGCCATACTCAGTTGGGGTGGCATATTAGACTTCCACCTGAGAAAAGGTGAGGTATTACAAAAAAAATATTGAAATTATGTACAATAGAAAGAATGACTACCCTTCTGATTATATTTTTAGAGATTCAAAGCTACTTGATGTACGACAGTTATATATGTATAATATAATATTGTATATCTTCAAAAATAAAACATCTTTTCAGCAAATCGGTCATGATTATAATACTCGCACTAAAACTAAAGGTAATGTACAGTTAAACCCAACAAAAAAGTCAATTTGTCAACACTCTCNACATAAAGTTCTCGTTATAAGATTAGGGCTGCAGTGGTGTGTATGCAAATTACAAGAGGAGTTGTTTATTATTTCCTGTCATTGTATCTTCCTGACGTCGGAAGTAGGGTATCTATTTTTAGAACAACGAAGAATGCCAACTTCAGAAAATGTGTGAATTACGTGTTTTATACAAACGCTTGTGTTGGGAATGGGTTAAGATTATTGTCGATATAATCGCAAAAACATTCTGGGTTCATTTTGAAAGAGCAACTAGAAGACACGGTGCGAAACAGCAAATAGAAAAATTGAAATCTGTTCATCAATCAATCAATCAATCAAGAAATGCTTTATTGTCAGAAGAACATAATTCTTGAAGACAGGGCTATACAATGTGATATGGTCAAACAATTAGTTAGATTACATCTATGTAAAAAATCTCAATATCTAAATCCTAATACTAATATACATAAATTGAGATTTATACATGTTTTACAACTCTACACATGATTTTTATATTCCTATATGGATACATGCTGAGATGTTTTATGAGCAGCCCACGTAGTAAACATACAGTTATTAAGATAATTATGAAAATAAAATTATTCAACATAATAATAAATTTATCGAACTGAAATAATTCAAAGGGTACAAAGGGTACAATTTAGACAGCACTAACATTTAACGTTTGTTTGAAGATAGTTGACTATATGTTTCACGGCGAATTTCATTAGTTCGGACTTTCATTGTTTGATATGACATATAATGATCCAAAATCCCTGTGAGAATCAATTGAATGAAATGACTAGCCAAAAGTAACAATTATATTGAACAATAAAAACATTAAAACAAAATACAAGTAACAGATCGATATCAGTATCACAAATTAGATTCTAACTATGTTATATAAACAATATGATATAATTCCTATTTCAACCAGTGTAGGGTCATATGAGCTCAGCTTGTATTGTGACCCTCAGGCTGCTGAGTTTCATCAAAGCAAATATGATATAGATACTAGAACAATCTGTCTAATAGGGTAACATAGTTTGGTTTTGAAAAATACGTTGAACAGAGACAAATAGTGATTGATATAATATAGATATTATTAAGGTTTGGAGATTTAGAGATATAGAGGTATGGCGGGATAGAGGTGATTCAGTTGAAATCAGAATCAGGTTCATGAGGATTATAAAAGAAAAAATTAATNGCTACTGCTTTCTAATAGAAGCGGCAACACCGCATTGTCGAAAATATTTCAGTTGGCTAGAGAATGTCCGAATATGCCCTCCATTAAATTTTCAAAGTGATCCGTTGTCTGGTTCACCAGAAACGTCTAATGTGCCATCCACCATGAATCAGCCTGTAGAAGAGGAACAAATCTCCAACCTTTCTTCGATGTTCCAGACTTTCGAAGTTGCAAGTGATATTCGCGTCTTCAATCAGTCGAATGGCTCTTTTCTGGATGGAATTCAGTGCCTACAGCTTCGGATCACGAATAGGAGAATGAAAAAGCTGAAATTTTGATAACGAAGAAGACATTGTAGATCCACCACCATCAATATCCCCTCACATCAGGATATGATGAATTTCTGACTAAAAACTACTACTTTCCTGGCTAACTCCACAACGTATAACTGGAAACGTTGATGTTTCTGAATAATTTTTCCTGTATTGAAACCATGTTCTCCAACAGAAAGTCTAACGGAATTGCTGAGAGAGAATAAGTTTTCAATATGATCCACTAAATGAGCATTTCCCCATCCTCCGAAAGTAAACTCGATTACCTTAAACATTTCCAGTACCCTTCAATTCACTTATCCCGAACGTGGCTCGTATTAGAGTTACACCTCGGATGATACCGTTAGGTATGAGGCTGAAAACCCTACACCGAAAACCGTTATTGAAATTTACGCGAGCCGCAATTTTACCCTATTAATTATTATATACGATTATTACCTTGGTTCATGCGAAAAAGGTTCTGCATAAATATTTCTAACCCTCCGCGGTAACGGAGGCGGACGGGGGTGGTAGCTTTCCATGATTTATATAGTTTTTCGGCTACTTTTCACAACACATTTTCACTACATGGGAGGTCATTGTCATGTGATTCGGCCCTGAAAAAGAAATTAATAGGAATTATTAAGGATAGGGGTTGAAGCTCTAATTTAAAAGGTTTTCGAAAATAAGACTGAAGGGTTCTTTCAGTTAATTTTCAGTTGTTATTGAATAATGATGCATACAGAGTGCATGCATGTGGGAAATGATTTTTGAGTCTACTCATCTGAAATATGTAGGTACTATAAGCAACTAAGTGTCGTCAATACCATATCAATATGTTTGTAACTTCTTCATCTCCATCAAATAAAGTTGAGCTACACTAACAATATCTTTGACTTAATATTCACCATTCAGTACAAAAATTGATCTGGCAGAGTTTTGTATTGGCAATATTCCTAATCGATGTTCGATAACAATCAAGTACATCAAGGATATCAAGTTATATCACATTCATTAAAGGATATATCAGATTAGGCGATATACAGTCTGAAACACTTTTTGATTCCCCTAACAAGATTTCGTCGAGTATATCCATCAGGAGAGAATGAGATGTGAATAATCGTTGGTAATTTATTTATATATTACACCAAGTAATAATATTTCAACGACCTACCTCAAATTATACATCAATTGATAATTGAAAACAATATTACTAGATTCATTCGCAAATTGTTCGTATCACAATTTAAAACGTTAACTTCATTTTTGTCGTTTCACCCTGTACAAAATATAATTTTTCTATGTCGCATCAAGATCTCCTATGAAGAACTCATAAGGTCAGTCACTGCCATTAATTTATTGTCAAGAAGAGACGTAGGGATAGACGATTAAGACTGATTCACTTCAATTGAGTTGACCTATCAAATGTAACTATGATGTGAATTAAATTGCTAGATATTTATTTCCTTTGGAACAAATAGTGCGTCGAAGAATAATACCACCAAGTTATCTTGAGCAGTTTCGATTATATGGATTTTCTAGTTGAAATTGTCCATGTTGATATACTTGAACTCACAAAGAAATACTCCCAGGCTTATTCACTTCTTAACAATTTCTGAATCATCTTGTGATTTATGTTTCTTGTTTCATTCGTGACTGAGAACAATAATAATTTTTTGAATTTTGGTTCTCCTTCTGGACCTTGCAGTGTTGAAAAATAGACACAATTCAGGATGTTGTGGAATAGTGGTGAAACTTGGTACCAATTTGACTCTATATATGTTATTATGTCTTTTGTGAAGGAGAATATAACATTGAACAGCTAGCATGTTGGAGCTGAATCAAACAAATCAGTATTCAACTCAAAATCAAAGTCGGGGTACTAGTGCAGACATTTTGAAATGATTTTCAGTCAAAACATTGAGTAACGGAGGCTTTGCAAACATTCTCCGAAGACAAACAAAAGTCAATTCAGAGAAAGAAGATTGTTTCAATCGATGGAATAAGCTGGAACGAAGTTGGGTGTTACCTATCATTTCCTCACTAAAATATTTCATCATGAGAACTCTTCAGAGATGATATGCATGTTCATTCACCATTTCTTAGTTTCCTAACAGTTGATTAGCATTAAAGTGCGGGAATATATGTGAAACATTTCGTTTTCGGACTCAGAAGCAATAATTTTTCAAGGGAATTTGATCAACTTCAGGCCAAAACAGCATTTTTGAATTCTATAAAAATCTTTCTTCATTGTTTTGTGGTGCAATCTTGAAACAATTTTGAATAGCTACAGGTAGCAGTAATATTTTTTCAAACTTCTGTATACCTCCAAAATTCATTTTTGACAGGCATTGAAGAAGCTGCTGATGTAACTGTCCAGGTGAAATCCAACGCAGTCAGTTGAGCCCACTTTAAAAAACTCTCTACATTCCTGTTGATACTCTGAGGGGCAAAACTAGCAGGAATGTCTGCAGAAATCATTGGAAATTTAATCATGTTGAGCCTTCTGTTGAAGATATGGAAGACTCAAGTAGTTCAGATAAAAAGATATCCAAAGTTTCTTGATAAAATGCATCTTTTGGATTCATTATATAGAAAAACAAGAAACAAGTACAGATTGGTTCATTCCGTTGGAAAACTTAGAAGACATACATATTGTTTGCAGTTTTTACCAGAAATGTAAAAAGTTAAATTTTCCTACGTAGATGGTTGAGTATGAAACTAGGAATTTACAAAAATCACAATAGTGATACTGAGAATGATCGAGACGTTTCGATTTTCAGTGGATAGAAATATAATTTCAACTGAAAATAATTTCCAACGAAAGTATAACACTGAAGGAGATAAAGGACAATCAAAAATCCATTGAGTTTTTGGGGGTATTGGTGAATCAAAAACTTAATTGGAAAGACCACATCATAGATTTCTTTACTAAGCTATCCAGCACTCTTTACTTGCTTCCTAGAATCGAATAATTTGTTTCCTTTCATGTCTCGAGAGCAGCTTACAGGTTATTTAAGTATAAGCTGTCATACGGATTGGTTTTCTGGGGATTTTCAAGTAACTGGGAAAATCTGTTTCAAATCTGTTTTTTCCATTAATCAGCTGTCGCCCCTCATACCAACGACAACTCTCAGAAGTTGAGAAACTTGTGCGAGCTAAGTAAAGGTTGTTAAATTCACCAAAAACAGTTATCAGAATCCTGTGGAAGCCAAAACGGACTGACAGCTATAGACTTCTGCTTGAAAAATTTTATATATTAACCATTGCGGCTCTATACATATTTCAATGTCTCGTCTATATAAAAACACAAAAAAATACCCCTAAAGTTAATCGCAACCATGGATATCTGACCAGAAATGGCCACAATAAATTTATGCCACAACATCAACTGGCAATTACTCATAAAAGTTTGTTTACTGTGGTGGAAGGCTCTTCAACCATCTACCATCGAATATGAGGAAATTACATATGAATAAATTCACAAAGAGTATAAAACTGCAAGTTCAAATACTTTGCGTTTTTGTTGTGTCTGTTTTGTACTGTATTCCTTCACCTTGACGATGCTGAATCTTTTGTACTAAGTGAACATTGATACATTGAATACATTGATTGATTAACGATTTNCAGAATCCTGTGGAAGCCAAAACGGACTGACAGCTATAGACTTCTGCTTGAAAAATTTTATATATTAACCATTGCGGCTTATAAAGATCACCAGAAAAGCAGCTGAGATTAGACTAAGTTCATTGAAAAATGAAGAAACTTGCTTATTGCGTATTGCGTGACGTCACATATTAGCGTGTATTATTTTTATTGTTGACTTTCTCTGAAGTGAATTCATCACCTAACTCAACTCTAACAATCAGACTAGTTAATTTGCTTCGAATCTGAATGAATTTAGTAACACAATTGGATTTATTTTTGACAGTAGTGGATTCCCATATCTGAAGGGCAGTTTTCCAGGTTTCATCTTGCCAAGAAAAGAAGGTGGCCCTCCAATTTTCCTTTCCATCATTTTTAATTGAATGCGCCTACGACCTAGTCGTTACTGACCTAGTCAGGTTTATTAGTGATGTTCTTGTTTGGCAATCCTATATCTTAGAAAACCCACGTTAAAATAGCTTTGAAACACAAGTTTCAATTGTTCAATTTTGTCAATTCAAAGTATGGTTAGTAAAATAATGCAACTTGGAGAAGTTTCACACTCATGTCATATACAATTGGACATAACATATTATTGGATATCACCTTTGTACAAGTCCTGTACCTTTGTACAAGTTCTGGTAGACCCTGTACACATACCGAATTCGCTTCTTTTCGAACATCGATCAGGAAAAATATTTGCCACCACTCACGCCTCTCGATCAAAAGCAAAACCCCCAAAGTTTCCCTGACACCCGGATTGATTTCCATCCTACAAATCTGAACCCTTCAGGGGTCGGCCGAACGCCCGTCGTGCTCAACTCATCTGTCACTTACCTCGAAAACGTCCACCTTTCCGCCACAACTTCACTCAACTTCTCACCGATGCCAATCTCACGGAATGGGTGCACAACAATTGAATAACGAACACCGTGTTAACATGACTCGAGACGATACCAATCGAAAAAAACAGGCGACCCGCAGAGACAGGAACACGCACGGCCCGATGTACGATCCGCTCAACAGTTTGCATCGAAGTGGGGTTGATGTCGGCTATGCGGAAAAGAGACTTGGGGGCGCGGACGGCAGAGGGATGTTGCGCAAACGCATCGGCAAGTCGAAACTCACCCCGTGTATCCACGGCGGGTCAGATGTTGCCAGGCGACAGGAGCTTTCTTTGATTTGGCGATGAAAATCGTCGATCCGGCTCGAAGGACCATTGATTGGGAATCGCTCTCGTGGCACCTGCGACTGCACCGATTGAACTTGAGTATGACGAATGCGCTTTAGAATGATGTGCCGATCAAATCAAAATGTTTGGACTTGGGGTAGAATCACGAAATGGGACTCGGAAAAACCTGCAGCACCACATCATCTGAAGATCTTGATATAAATAAAATCAACCTGTTATTGTTATCTAGATAGTTGAGGACATGATGAGTGAATGTTAGTAGATTTGTTGACATCGACTTTTTTGGAACAAATCCGTGCTGTTCAACACAAATGTTTTAAACAAAACCCCTTAACACTTTTATATAGATGATCTGTTCAAACAGGTTCGCAATGAAACAACAACAAAAATTAATTGGCGCTCCGGGGCGATTTATTGAATTTATTGAAGCCTCTGGAGACACCTTATATTTTGTTTTATGAGAGAGAGAGAGAGAGAGAACATTGGCAGATCAAGATTTTCAGATGATGTGGTTCTGCAGGTTTTTCCGGGTTTTCCTGCTGCTGAAAAGGCAAATGCGCCACTGGAATCATTGAGCGCCCCTTAATTTTTGTTTTTGTTTTATAATTTCATGATTTCTATTTTGAAAGTGTTAGTACACTACTTATTGTTGAATGAAAACTCATTATATACTATTGAATTTCCACACATCATTTTTTCCAATCTTAAACCAATGATATAGACCATAAAATTTCATTTTCTGAAAAACTGTTTTTCTTATTCTTGTTTAATTTTTTCTCTGTCTTCATTATTAACAAATCGTTTATTGAATAAACGAGTAGGGAATAAAATAATCAGAATTCGAAATGGCAGTTGAAATTATAATAAAACATTCGGTTTCCGGTGTTTTTATTCACTGGCAGAAATAATTGATTTTGAGANATATAGAAAGAAATATTTACAAACTTTACTACCAACTGTGTAATAACTTAAAAATTGATTTTCATATGTTATTTGCAACGAACTAATCTAAAAAACAGGCAAATATATATACATCAAGTTTAAAGAACCAATACTTAATACAAAAAAACGTTCACAGTGAAGATATTAATACGCCACTATAGGCCGTTTTGATCACGATATTACTACTGGAGAACTCGTACTTCGGAACAATATCGAATCAAAAGATTCCAGTATTGAACTGACAGAAATAGACCTTTATGTAAATTGAAAATGAGTGAACAAATGAGCAGTTGAAAGTAACTGCCTGAATGTTAATTTATCCAGAATCTACTTTTCGATTACCCCCGTCAACACCTGTCTTAGGTTCACAGAGAAAAGGAAAATGCCCAAAACTATCCTCTAATTTAAGGAATGAATTGTAAATTTCAGTACTCACACCGCTCCAAAATATATCAACAATATCAGTGCTTCTACTCATAGGTTATCATCATTTTTGATATTTTTTCTTATATACTTGCTACGGCTCTCCGTTGGTACTTTCTAGTACCATACATATTTCAAAGAATGATATGTATGATGCAACTATAGCTTTCCCGAAAAATTTCTCCCATTACCAGATAAATATGCCTTGAAAGCTTTTTTCTACCACCAAAAAAATGAATGAAAGATCTCACAGTGCTCTTTCATAGGTGATCTTATTATTCTTGCCCAAAAAACCTGAAAACATGTGTTATGGAATTCTCTACCGATATTTCAAGAATAGGAGATGAAAATATTGAATTGATTGATTTAACTGACCTTAGATGTTTTTTGGTTTCGGACAGTCCCTTGCTAGAACCTTGCTTTTGTGTTGGCTTTACGATAGATACTGATCTGAATCGTTTTCAAATCCTGACCGTGAAAATCTCCTCAGTTATATTTACTCCTGCTTACTAAACAACACGCAATATGCTGATAAAATAACGAACCTACAGGGCGGCTCTACTGATTCTTCTGAATTCAGAAATTTAAACCGTTACAAACCCATATAGAAAACGAAATATTTGCAATGAATGTGTAGGAAATAAAAATCGATTTTTTGACCTTTGACCTTGAAAATCTGTAGTAACAGACACCATAGTACGAATAGATTCTGAGCCAAGTTCCAGGGTGCCAAAATGAAGGTTTATACAACTGTTCAGCTGACTATCTTCCATTCTGAGTTTATTGCCCTAATTTGACTGATATTCCTGGACTAATATATTGGAAAATATACTATAAATTCAATATTCTGCTAATGACAGCACACTTGATTTTCTTTCCCATTTGGTAGCTCGATGATGCTTATATTTGGGAGAAAATTAGTAGTTTCATAAGTATTTGGAACTGTTTCTTGGTAGATGTTACAATTTCGAACTTCTATTGTCTGAAAATTAGTTGATGAATTCAAAATAACTACTTGAATCAACGAAAGTTTTCATCAAAAACAGCTCTGAATCGGATGGGAGTTCTTCTAATGTTGGTGTCATTATGTCATTTGTACCTCCTTTGTAAGTATCTATAGAAATGTGACAAGTCTCTAACCTTTCTTCGATGTTTCAGTGATGTTCGCATTTCCAATCAGGCGGGTGGCTCATTTTGGACGGAATTCAGCAACTTCAGGATTTGCTTAGAAGCGGAGCTCCATACATGAGAACAATACTTTAAAAAAGGTCTGATCTGAGCTTTATAAAGCATTAAAAGTTGCTGAGGTGTGTACAGTTTTCTGGTTCGGAACAATGTCCCAAGCTTTTGAGAAGCAGCTTTTGCAATTCCAGCGTCATGATTGTGCAAGGACATATTGGGGGGTCCATTTTGAGAATAGGCTGAAGTGATTGTTAAGTAGAATCACTCAGTTATACAATTATCTTCAGATAGTAATCTTTCACGATGTTTCGTCAGGTAGAAAATATGAGAAATCATTATTGAATGCAATTTCCAAAACGATTGGACTGAAGTTTTGGGATGTTGAACAGGTGAAAAACCTTTATTTCTCTCTCTGTTATTGATGATGATATTCATAATGATTTGTTGTGACTGAATCATGAAATACAGATTGAAATGAAGAAGCAAAAGCGAAATGTGTCTTTAATTAACTTAATATAAGTAGTAAACCTTTATGACTTATATACCTGCGTAATT